AAGGTTTGTCTGCGCCTCTGTTGCAAGTCCAGTTCGAGCAGCTTAGGAAGAAGGTGCAAAGACGAAACTATATTCTGCCAAGCGTATTATAATGGAAGATTCACCCTATCTGTGGAAACACCAGGCAAAGATTTTGTTTTGACCCTTCTGGCCCACTAACTATAATTGGGAAGAGTGATTGTTGATTGCATAAAAAAAAAAAGAGTGGACAATAGCCCTACCCTTACATCCCACTGACATCAAATTCTCATTGCACATACATTTAGGCTGGACTTGTATAGACTTCCAATAGAGAAGGCAACTTTTTTATTTGATGGACTCTTCCCTAGCTGAGACTTTGTTTCCTACTTAGGGAAATTTTACCCTTGGAGAGAGTCTGGATAGGAATCTGAGAAAATCCTTTGAACTGTTGACTGCTCAGGTGGCATTAATTACTCATTATCAGTATATGCCGTTATAACATCTCTGCAGTGACTAGATGAATCCTCCGCCTATACACATAAAAAAAGCTCTAGGCCACAGATCCCCAAACTGGGGGACGCAACCCCCTAGGGGGGTGTGGAGGAACATTCAGGGGGGTGCAGAGGCCCAGGCCAGTCCCCACAGGAGTCGGGGAGGGAGCACCACTCAGACCCGCTCCGTTCCCGGCTTTGCTCTGGCCCCGCCCCCAGACGCAGCCCCTGACCGCAGCCCAGCTGCGGCTCCACACCCAGCCCTGCCCTCAGCCTCGGCCCCTGGTTGGTGCTCCATTCCCAGTCCCGGCCCCAGACCTGCCCCCAGTTGCAGCCCTGGCTCCGGGGAGTGGAGAGAGGACAGGGGTAAGGGAGGGTGTGACCCTGAAAAGTTTGGGACACCTGCTTTAGGCCCTCTTATTAGGCTCTGTTTGCTTTGAAATAGGGCCGCTTTTTTTATTCATGGTTCATCCCAAGATGCCTTCATGCTTTCTGCCCAGAGTATGGCCATTTTAACAGTACCTGGACGGGCATGCTGGTTCTTTTCTTATAACAGGGGAACTTGGCACAAAACTAACCTTGCTATCCTCCCTTATCGAGGGGTATTTGTTCGGCATAACCCAGAATAAGAATTCACATAAATGTAGGAAGTTCACAATGTTCTCTTTATTGGAGGAAATGCTGCTGACAAATTAAGGCACAATGTGTTGAAGAAAAGGGTATAAGATAAATAATATTGTTCTGTAATGGTGAAACGAAGCCACATTTTAACAAGCTAGACCATAATGAAATATTGAAAAAGGCCACACCATAATAACGTGGGAAAAGAAGACAAAATGAGTGATCCCTCTGTGGTAGGTCCTTTCCCTTTGTAGAAATTTGAAAGTATGAGAAATGCCAACAAGTTCATATGAGAAGATAGTCCTATCAATCAGGGACTTTAAAAGATGATTACTAAATTAACTAATCCATAAATTAAATATTTTCCCCAACACAGCAAGAGCCCATCTGTAATGGCTGCTCACTAGAATATGTTCTGCACCCTTGAATTAGCTTGTGCTTGGACAAAACCTCCACTGAAGTGTTAAAAGGAGTTTTGCCTCAGTAAACATTGCAAGATTTGGCCCAGCGGCAAGAGCAAAATTCTACTTTCTTTCTAACTGAACGTTCAAACGAGGCAAATTTTCAAACAGTCAGAGCCCAGGAGCAATACACACAAATCAGTCAGAGCCCAGGAGCAATACACACAAATCAGGGTGCAACTCCTCAGCTGATTTTTACATACAGTTACTGTGCTGGGATTGATGAATGCAAGTTTGGTATTTAGGCATGCAAACGGCCAGTTGGGTACCAAACACACACACAGTCATGGAATCATAATGGTTCTTTTTGCACATTGCTCCGGGTTTTTGTTGTTTTCAAAACCAGACTCTCATTGTGGGCCAGAATGTGATGCCTTTGCCCATGCTGAGTAATAGCTTACTCCACAACAGTCCCGTTGACTTCAGGGGCACTGCTCATAGTGTAAAATGCTACTGAATATAAGTGAGGGTATCACAGTCTGGCCTTATCCGTTAACTGCTAACTATAGATGGTAAACTCCTGATCATGCAAGTTGCTGCACCCTGGCACATCTTTGTGTATGAGTAATCTCAACAACCAAAGAACCGTGCATAGAAATAATTTGAAAATGGTACATTATCTCATATGGAAAGCTTCCTGTTGTGATATTAGTTATAACAAATCCTTTTTTCAAAAGTTTTTATTTTGGAAATGAGATTTTGAGATGCAATTTTTTCAAGCAATTTTCCCCCTTTCATGTCTTTCTACACACAGTGGTCCAAATTTATCCATGGTCTAACTTCACTAAAGTTAATGGAGTTGTACTATGTAAGGATGTATTTGGCCCAATATTTCCAATCAGCTATATCACACTCTGTGTGTGTTAGGCTTTATTTTATGGAGAATTTGGGAATAGGTTCACCTTCCATCTTGAGCTATTCTCAGTGGCCTGCCCTCCACACTGTTACTGCTTCTAGCTTCCAGTCTCTAACCTGTTCACTAATATAGTTCAGCTGGGAATACACCTCTCCAATTTTGTTTTCTTTTTAATTTCCTTTGAGATTGCTGAATTAATGCTGAATTCTAAGAAGTGTTGAAAAAAGCTGAATGCAACAGCTATTAGGAGAGAACCACTGGTATCTCAGGAGCCTTAGTTGAGTAAAGAGGAACCTTACAACACTAAATAAACTGCAACCACCATGGACATCAGAATGAGACAAGAAAAGACCATTTGATGCTGAGTTATGAAATCCGAAACTGCACAGACAAATTTCAAAGAATTACAAGCTCTGCTCACACAGCTGTTATAGCAACATTGCACATATACAAGCTTGCAAGGCTACAAACGTTAATATTCAAGTCTAAAAGTCCTTGGGATGCTTTAGAAACACAAAGAGAAAAAGATCTTTGATCTTTTTTTTTAATGTAAAGACTTCTTTGAAAATTCCTTGGTAATGCAGAGGTACTGAAAAGTGTTCTCTCAGAACATCTCAGGATGCACTGGTCTCTCCAACTGTGGTGGCTCTGTAGCCCACCTTTTTCCTTCTTGTTTATTTTTAAATGCACTTCATAACTAAACCGGAGCCGAGTAGTATATGGTAGAGTAACATGGTAGATGGACTTTTGTGTCAAAAATAAAGTTGGTGAAAAAGACATAGAAATTTACTCTGAAAAGGTTCAAGGGTCTAGCTTATGAATCTCAGTTCCAGTCCTTAAATCAACTACTAAGTTATGTAACTGATTTTTTTCATGTCATGTGGGGTTGCCAGGGTTGCAGTGGCTTTTTCATGAAATATGAATAACAAAATATAAAAATATGTATGTGGGTCTGCATATTTGTGTAGTCTTGCCAATTTTTGACCCTGTAATTAGCATGAATATACAGTACTAGCCATACAGGGAGACCACTGGAAAGTGAAATTAATTTAAGAGGTAGTATTTTTTGAGATTATTCAAGGAATTGTGGAAAACTGCATTACAACACATTGTTCCCTACAATTTCCTGTATGGTGGGGCCTCAAAAATCTTCAGAATGTCCCTAGAAAGTGTTTATTTTCATATAGCTGCAAATAAGTGCATACAGTTAGAGGTCATAACAAACCCATCTTTTCCTTTAGATTTAAACAAGTATTGAAACTTACAAGGTGTAAACATGTTCAGAATATAAAAGCTGAAATATTTGTGTTTTAATATTTCAATTATTAAATAATTGTGTCTAACATTTTCTGAATAGCATGTATCATACAAATGATGCCTTGTCATTGTACCTGCTCTTTGTGTGTCTTTTTGGTCTAATGTGCTGTAGTTACTGACAAAATCAAGTTTGAACTATGGTGAGAACTATAGAGCTAGAAAAGGTAGACAAGAGAAAACTCTATTTTAGTTTCTCCTACCTCAGACATAGTCACTACGTTGTTAGCCAGGTTCTGGTTTCAGAATACTTTTGTGGATAACAAATAGAGATACTCAGAACAGAAAGAATGCAGCTTGATTTCCAAATACTAGGCTGAGTATGCATTGATAGCAATTAGAAAAGGATTGCTTTGAATTACAAATTGAGTAAATGTGATATTTGGGAATGAGATATATGGGAATAAGAACAAACACGATAAAACAGTATTTAATAGTCACTTTTCTGACCAGACTCGCATTTTCAAGAGTCCTATAATAGCAATATTCCATTTACTAAAGTACATAGAGATAACTTTCAGAACTTTTAACAACATGTCAAATCTGAAAATCTGATTCTCATAATTGTTTTAAAACTGCTTTATTACCCACTTGCATAGTTAATATACATCCAATTATTGGTTTGTGTACAGAGAATTCTCTTGAGTGAAATTCCTGTAAAATTACCTGTTCAGTCCATAAGAATAGCAGAATTTCATCATGATTAATGTAGCAATGAATATCAAATTGACATCCACTGACAATGACTTAAGATGTTCAGTAAACATGTTATAAAACTATTTTACATTTTAATTTTGATTCATATAATCTAAAATATAAACATTTGTGAATATTTGGAACACCAGCTATGGAATGACATTACTGTAGAATCTAGCTTTGCTGTCCAGTAGTAAAAAGGAGTTATTTTTAGACACGTAGTTTTATGAACTGACAGTATTTAAATGTTTTATTTAAAACAAATAAATTTCAGGACTGTTAATTAAATATAATAATTGTTGCCTTGTTATTTATTATTATTTATGTATTTGTTATTTGCTTAGGACCACAGTGTTAAAACTCACAAGATAAAATGTGTCTCTCTGATATTGCTCTAGTAACCTCAACTAGAGAAAGGTAGTGGTAGCAAGAGCGGAACTGCTAAGCATGCCCACATAAGAATGTCATACTTAGGTAACAGAGTGTCCCTCAGGTCAGCCTACGCTAAGAGCAAAGTCAAACAAGGCTGAATCCTTGATGTTTTGTGTTTTAAGTATCTGAAAATTGTACACGACCAGCCTCGACCCACAAGACCTCAAATGATCATATGAGCGAGGCAATAAATTGATGGTAACTTGCCCCGGGCCCATGTTCTAGTTGTGATGTTGATGAAAGTTGCATCAAGTGGTAACCTGTGCATGTAGATCCAGCTGTCTTTTCAGGCTTAACAGAGGGGAAAATCATTACATTTAATTGCACTGAAGGGAAACTGACTATGGTGGCTGAAAGTGCATGGCTGAAAAGCTCTGCATCTTATCAATGCGGTCAAGTGGAGATGCTTGTGAATACCACCAGATCAAGAGAATTGGGAAACCACTTGCTTTCCAAAACTCCACAGCTCAGCAAGATTTTGGCAATGCCAACAGTTTGTCAGCCAGTGCTTGTCAACCCACCAAAAAATGGCCTTCCAGCCTGGGATAGGCTGGTACATCTTCCTGACAGACATCACAAATGGAATTTTGTAGATATAACAGAAAATCGCTTGTGTAGGAAAAGACATTCCAGAAATGATATGCTGAGAAATGGACAGCAATCTTCACAGTTTCTACATGCTTCAGTTTGGACTAGCTCAATATTACATCCAGGTCATACAGAAGTGAATATTCAAGGCATGTCAAGTGCCCAGGAGTATGATATAGAAGAAAAAAAATGTAAAGGTAATTAGAATTATTATTTAGAACATAACAAATATTTAAAAAGAAAAGAAGCCAGAGTGTCTGTGGAGTTGGTCAGGCTTTGGCCATAGATAACAGCTTTGTAATATGGGACAATCTAGCTACGGATGTTTTTCATGGCAATAGTTGTGGCTTTCAGTTTATCCTGAGAGTATTTCATCTTTGTATGTTTTAATATATTTGTAAAGAACTAAAGTGATGTACAATTTGAAATTTATTTTAAAAATTAATTTGCTATATACAGTATATAACTAATTCCTGATGTCCCTTTAAAAAGGTTTTTTCCCGTCCTCTTTGAACCCCGACCAAAATTATTTCTTTTTGTGCCTGGCCTTTGTATAGTGAATATTCTTTTCCTTGAGCAGGCAGTAGTATTGAAAGTTCTGTTTTAGGATGGTCCTGTTTGTCCAAGCTAGAGCAGAGTTGCGAGGGAGGTGTTATGCCTTGTAAATGCGTAACTGTCACTGCAAATTTGGTGGTTTTCTGGTTTATATTCCTTTTTAAACTGGAATAAATAGTTCGTCAGTGCTCTTCTCTCAAAGAAATAAATATATGTGCATCATGCTCTGAGGGAGGGACAACAAGTTGTTTTCTTTTACTTAAAGTCTTGCGTCACTCCAGGAGGAAAGATTATAGTGTCAGGAAGGATATCACCTCATGAAAAAGTTAAACTGTTCTAAGTACCTGATTTCTTTAGATTTAGCTGCTCTTTACCTCAGAATGCCTTCTAGCTAACAGATGTCAGGTGTTGATCGCTTTAACGTCTTACTAAGGGCTGTCTGAAGTCTGCAGAATCCAGACAGCTCCATCAAGGGTTCTATTAATTAAGTTGTGTGTTAAACTGTTTTAATACAATTATCCGTTCTTCTTCATTTTTGAATGAAAAGAACTCTTTACCTCAAAATTGTCTTGAGGGAGGACAACTTGAAAAAAGGTGCACATTTTAAGTAGCAGTAGTTACTTTGTCAAGAGATAAGCTGTCTAATTAACTAATGTCTTTTAACAGTGTCTTCCGATTATGAGACATGAGGGGACTTAACAAATTGGGTTGCCTTGGTCATAGGACTATAATTGTACTTACCAGTGTTTGTTCACTACTAGTCTTAAAAGTTTTCAAAAATCATTGAAGAATTTGCCTGTTTATGCCATTTTGTCAGCAAACTATCAATAAACAATTTATTTGTGACAAGACATGAGAGCATCCTACACTGGAATGAGCTATAAGGAAATAATCAAATAATGGCCAGGGTGAGCCCATAGAAAATTCTGGATTATGAAAAGAGACAACTTCATTCTTGGTAAACCAAATTTCTTCAAATTCATCAAGGGCACTTATCCTAACTGAGGACTAAGTTCATGACAAGTCTGAACTTTTCAGTTTAAAATTAACTGTTTTTAGTTAACCAAATAGAAAAAGGGATATTAAATCTTGGAATGAAAGACAAATCACACTGGTGTTTTATCTAAACCTTACTACAGTCTTGGTGGAATGTCATAGCCAAAATGCTATTCTTTAATAGGTCTTTGATTCCACTGAGATGCATGCCACTAAACACCAAATGCTAACATTGAAATGTGACAACTGTGCATAGTATCTGATATATGTACTTTGTGATTATAATAGTGACACATTGGTGGTTAGAAATAGGGCAAATACTATAAAGATTGCACTTTCTGCTCATATAAGTGTTGAATATGTTGTTTGGACTCTGAAGTTTGAGCTGAACATAGCTTTATTTAAGAAATAAATCTCGTTTTCTGTGTTATCCAGCATAATATAGGAATTGGAGAGCCAGAACTAGGAACCTAATATGGTTGGCTGATATCTGGGCACATCAAACAGAGATTGCATCTGTCATTGGGTTGGCATTTAAGAATTATTTTTTTTTCTTTTAAAATTTGTTCTGTGATAAAAGTTTGTGTTTTGAACAGTGTCCTGAGCCTAAAGCGTGGGATACGTATAACTGTAATACAAAATAAAGAGTCAAGTAGATCAAAAACACACATTTTTTAAAAAGTAGGGACTCATTATACCATATGGGCACAGGTATAGGTGTATTTGGCAGAGACAGATATGGTGGAAACCTTGTCTAGAGCCAGAGCCACACTAATAGATTTGCCAAAACGAACAGTTGATGGTGTAAATTGTACTTTCTTTACAGTACACAAAGATAAACATTGTCCTGAATCAACTCCACAGTGTGCAATATGAGACCACAGCATGCAGACAGTTTGCATTGTAATTTCTTCAAAGAATAGTACAGAATAGTGGGTTTTGTCAGAACTGGCATAGAGAACATATGCTGGCATTCTTTTAAAGGTAAAAGAACATCAAATTGGTGTGATTAATGAGTGAAGTGTGGGTTAGTATTTTAAAATACAATACTGTGTTGTCACTTGTAATCATATAAATATGGCACGAAGAAAGGAATATAATGGCCATAATAACACAAAAGAAACAAAATGCATATAATTGTATTCAAAGACCAGGAGATGATAATATTACTTTGTACAGCAACACTAGAATTCTGAAATATGTGGTAATCCTTCATGCTAAATGTTCAAATGTGCAAAAATATATTTGACCACATAAATATTTTTCTCCATCAGTATATACAGTTCAGGGCCAGAGACATCATAAGACCCTTCCCTATAGTCCTTAGGGGATTCCCGTCGAGTCCTGAATAATTCGTATGCTGTGTGATGCAATCCATATGATGATGATTCAGAATGTTTTTAAAAAGGGAGATGGGGTGTCGTGCACCAAACTGAGAAAACATAGACCATAGCCAGACACATTCAGTTTGCAAACAGTCAAGAGAATACAACCCTTCTGGGGAATAGGGCACTCAAATGGTAAATTATACTCTACAGGTGTTGAATGTGTTTAATGGCTCTGCTTCTGCATGTGTCAGTGTTCTGGGTTGTCTTGGACACTGTGCTGATGAAATCATTGCCTAAGTAGGAATAATCACAGAAGTGTTTTTTGTTAATGTTTATGTACGTTATTTTTTGTTGTTTTTATTCACAAATGAAAGAATCCACTATCCATTTAAATCAAAAAAAACAAAATACAGATACAATACACAAAAGAAATGGCTGAAGTAGAAATTGTGTGTATTGTTTTCAACTCTGCTTCCAGACTCTTTGGACCCAGTCCTGCGATCCTTCCTTAGGTAATTAATCCCATTCTGGGACCTGAGTGAGGGCTGTTGGATCAGGCCCTAAGAGATTCAAATGAAAATGTTTCAGCAACATTTCGGTTCTAATAGTGATGTTAATTTTTGGCACTGTTTTATGATCTGATTTGTTTCCAAGGAAACAAGTGTTTGCAGGACTATCAACCTGAGTTTTATGTCGACAGCTAAACACTAGCATATTGCAAGTGGAGACACTCATGCCCCAATACTTCTTGTCATATATATATATGACAATTATATATATATATATATATAATTATTATTATTTTTGGGTCAAAACAGGCCTTTCCCATTTGGACCCTTTTCTACACTCTCCCCAGTCTTTTCTAACTTGACTTCTTTGTGTTGTGGTAGTTACTTTCAGAAAAACAGTGCATATTCTGTAGCATAAGTATTATTGATATTATTACAAAAAACAAATAAGATGAGACTTAATCTTAGAGAGAGAGAAAGAGAGAGAGAGATCTATTAACAGAGTTCTCTATATCATGGCCATAGATTCTCTATCCTAGGGTATTTCTGTTCATTTTCAGACAAGAAAGTTAAATTAAATGGATGAGGAAAAGAGATGAGTGAAGGATAATTACTAAGAAGCTGATTGCCTCATTTATCAAAACAAAATCACAAGGGGAAAGTATCTGCTGGAAACTCCAAACCCAGTTTTGGGAGGTGCTTTTGAGTGGTGCTGAGTGCCCTAAACTGTGACAGAATTTCTGTTAATGGGTGATGAGGGCATTACAGGATCGGGTTCTCAAGCTTCACCTCACATAGTTCCCTCCTCTCTCTAGGAAGAGGCACCACATTCTGGAATCCCCAGGAAATTCTAAGTCTTCCTGCAGATCCCAAGGCAGTAATGCATGTAGCGTGGCATGCCACACTGCAGCCTAACCTTACACTTTTCCACTTGCTTTTTCCTCCCCTCCATCAGTGTAAGGTTCATCCAGCCCTACAGATATTCTACATCAAAAATATTCTGTCCTTTTTTTTGATCATGTACCAAGTCCTTCCTTTCAGAGATGGAATCGGAACTGCATCTACTCTGGCACATTGAGGATCCATAATTCCTCACAACCGCAGCTTCCCCAGTAATAGCACCCATGGAGGCTGTAGTGTGGAGAAGGCAGCCATTTTTACCACTGGCCCATGGATATTTCTGACTGGTGGTTTAAACACAGTAAGAACCAAACAGTGCCAGATAACTGTGCTTCAGTAAGCGAAAGACAAATCGCCAGGGTCAGGCAACCCAGTGGTAAAAATGCCTGAATCTTGTCTACACTACAGCCTCCAAAGTTATGACCACTGACTGGGTGTGATGGGGTTTACAGACCCTTCACTAAACCAGAGCAAGGCATGGGGCAATATTGGGGTAGGGAGGCCCACCCTTCGGGAGTTGTGGGGCATGCTCCGGGCAGAAGGATAGTTTAAAAGGGCACGGGCAGCCCAGGGGAAGGCGGGGAGGAGCTACAGGCTGCAGCAGGGAGTGAGGCTGATGTCTGGAGCTTTGGACAGTGTGACACTGGGGAGAAGATGCTGGAAGCAGTGGTCCAGATTCCTCCCACCCCCTGCTTTAGAGTTGGGAACCCAGGAGAGGCCCCAAAGAGCAGGATTCCCCCATCCCCATGGCAGACTAAACTGCTGCTACTGATCACTCCCTAAAGGGAGAGACCAGGAAGGGATGTAACTTGGAATGGACCAACAAGTAGTCTGGACATTAAGCCCTGGGTTGGGACCTGGTGGAGCAGGAGATCCCGGGTCCCCCTGCCTTATCCCCCACTCCCCTCT